TTCTGGGTATTGTCGACATGGAAGCGTAAGTGAAGCACTTGAACTGTTTTGGGAAATGCAGTTGGAGGGGCAAAGACTAACCCAGTTCACATTGGGAAGTGTTCTTAGCATGTGTTCAATGATGGGTTTGCTCCAAAGAGGAGAGCAGATTCATGGTTATGCAATAAAGACCCAGTTTGATTTCAATGCTTTTGTTGTTACAGGTCTTGTTGACATGTATGCAAAATGCAAACAAATATCTGAAGCTGAATATCTCTTTAGGATGATGCCAGATAGGACTAATAATGTTATCTGGACTGCAATGGTTACTGGCTACTCACAGAATGGCAATGGATTTAGAGCAATTGAGTGTTTTCGAGATATGAGGACAGAAGGAGTTGGGTCCAATCAGTTTACTTTCCCTAGCATATTAACAGCTTGTGCTGCAGTTTTGGCACTTCGGTTTGGTACCCAGGTGCATGGTTGCATTGTTAGGAGTGGTTTTGGAACTAATATTTATGTTCAAAGTGCCCTGGTTGATATGTACGCGAAATGCGGAGATTTAAATGGTGCAAGGAGAGTGTTAGGGGATATGGAGGTTGATGATTTAGTTTGTTGGAATTCCATAATAGTTGGGTGTGTGAGGCAGGGACTTCATGGGCAAGCTTTGTCATTGTTTCGAAAAATGCACAGGAGAGCAATGAAGGTTGATGAATTTACAATTCCATCTGTCTTAAATTGTTTTACTTCCACAATGGATTTGAAAAGTGCTGAGTCTGTCCATTGTTTGATTGTCAAAGCAGGATTTGAGGGTTACAAACTTGTGAGCAATGCTCTCATTGACATGTATGCTAAACGAGAAAATTTAGATTGTGCACTTGAGGTGTTTAACCGGATTCAAGACAAGGACGTGATTTCATGGACTTCTCTTGTCACAGGGTACTCACATAATGGGTCCTATTCCATGGCACTCAAATTGTTTTGTCATATGAGAATTGCAGGCATCAATCCTGACCAAATTATTGTTGCCAGCATTTTGAGTGCCTCTGCAGAACTAACTGCTTTAGAGTTTGGGGAACAAGTCCATGGAAGTTTTGTTAAGTCTGGCATTTGGTCATCTCTATCAGTAGATAACTCCCTTCTGACCATGTATGCTAAGTGTGGGTGTATAGAAGAGGCCAATAAAGTATTCAACTCTATGCAAGTGAGGGATGTGATTACTTGGACTGCTTTGATAGTTGGCTATGCACAGAATGGTAAAGCAAAGGACTCCTTTAAAATTTTATGATAGGATGATCGCCAGCGGAGTGAAGCCAGATTTCATTACTTTCATTGGTGTACTATTTTCCTGCAGCCATGCTGGCTTTATAGAAGCTGGACGTTCCCATTTTGAATCAATGGGTAAGATTCATGGAATCAGACCAGGGCCTGAACACTATGCCTGTATGATCGATTTGTTGGGAAGATCTGGAAATCTTGTTGAAGCTGAAGAACTCTTAAATCAAATGGATGTTGAACCAGATGCAACTGTATGGAAAGCCCTCCTTGCGGCAAGCAGGATCCATGGGAATTTGGAACTGGGAGAGAGAGCTGGAAAGAACCTCATGAAATTAGAACCCACGAATGCTGTACCTTATGTCATGTTGTCAAATATGTATTGTGCAGCTGGTAAATGGGAAGAAGCAGCTAGAATCCGGAGACAGATGAAATCAAGCAGCATTAGTAAGGAAGCTGGGTGTAGTTGGATTGAAAGGAACAGTAGAGTTCATGCTTTCATGTCAGAAGATAGAAGTCATCCAAGAACATCAGAAATCTATTCCAAGATAAATGAAATATTGTTGTTAATCAAGGAAGCTGGTTATATGCCTGACATGAAATGTGCTCTTCATGACATGGATGAAGAGGGTAAGGAGCTTGGTCTTGCTTATCATAGTGAGAAGCTAGCCATTGCCTTCGGGCTGCTCATAGTACCTCCAGGAGCACCTATTCGAATTTTTAAGAATCTCCGCGTCTGCGGAGATTGCCACACTGCTATGAAATACATATCAAAAGTCTACAGTCGGCACATAATATTGAGAGATTCAAATTGTTTCCATCATTTCAAAGAAGGAAGATGTTCATGTGGTGACTATTGGTAGAAGTTTCACTGCTAACTCTGCTATTTCCATTTTCTCATGGGTGATTAAACTTAATTGCTGGTGCTAACTCCTATGTGTCAATTCTATAAGCCGTGATATTTATAGGCTCTATGGAAGAGAGGGAAAAAAATGGCTCGTGCCGATCAATATTTAACAGTTGTTGAAACTTAATGAGGCAAACAAGCCGATTCGCACCCCACAATAGTGCATTGAAGATAGAAACATCACGGAAAGTGCTGTAATGGACTATGCTAAATGACACCATCATATTGTCATGCAGGAATCAGAAATCTACTGCTACACATGACTTGGAGACGTTCTATGTGAGCTCAGAGATTTTCAGGCATAAGGGTAACATTTTGAGAAGGTATGATTAGCATTCTGCTACAAAGGTATAGATAGAATTTTCTGAAGCTCGTTAACTTCAATTACTGACCCTGGAATGAATTCTGAAGCCTCTCAGTTAATATGCTGGAAATTTGCACATAGGTGATGTCATCCGTGATCTGACTGACAGAAAAAAGGTTTTACCTGGCAATGAGGTAAAGTCAGCCCATTTAATGAGCACATTTATTATAGAGCAGAAGAAACTTCCTCACATGTCCCATGCATGAGTTTGCACTTTGCAGATTTGAAGACCTCAGAATTTTTGGTTGAATCTTGTACGGATCCCGTGAAGGAGAATTACTTAAGGTTTGGAAAGTCTTACATATTATCACATTTTATTAATAACACAAATAAAAGTTTACTTTGATTAGTAAAAATTCATAAAATAAAAGTTCTCCGTTTGATTGCCATTAATGAAAAATAATACTATATTAGCATGTACCCACTATTAGGAGTGAGAGTAAATGTACTTTCGAATTACTTACGGATTCTTTTTCTATTGTGCTAGTTACAAATTTGTGGTCATGATCGTCTCAAAAGATCTCATACTATACGATGCCTAAGTAGTTCGAGTTTGGCTTTATATTATGCTCAGATCCATATCTATCACCAGTAAACTGAATCACTCAAATGGTTGAACTCAAATTTTGTTGAAAAGCCGAGATTGTTGAATATTTTTTCCTTCTCAAACCAGTTCATTAATACTTATATCTTCCCTCTAAACCCTCCAGGGAAAGATTTACTAGTAATTCGCTTAAAAATAAATCTTCCTGTTCTATTTCCAATCCTCTGCTAAGTTTGAAACAGAGCTGGGTTTAGCAGTCAGGTCAAATTCTTCTCTTCCCTAAATAGTCCCCTGCATAAACTGAAAGCAAAGAGTGCTACAGCATCATCCAGCACACAGAGAAAGGAGAAGCTTGAGAACAGAACCAAAATTTTCAGGAGACCAAGTTTTTCTTATAACAAACGCTGGGTAGGAAAATTATACATTTAAGACCCTAATCTAAACTTCAACTTGTAGTTAGTCAGCAGAACAAAATGCCCATAAAAAACTATATATGACAACAAATCTGTAAAATCTCAATCTTTCATAGTCAAGACATACAACATATAAAATGAAATCTTGAATCTTTTGCGCCAAAGCAGTCACCTTTGATCCACTTCAATTTCATTATTAGAACTATCATGTAAGCGTCATTGATTCAAGGGCAATCCCAGCCACCAGACTAATCAATTTCAGGTCTTCTTGTCTATTAGTTGATCAGTGAAGAGAAGAGGGCTATTTGGGACCCGAGCAACAGACACAGGAGGATCGCTCTAGGGGGCAACCAAGCATCCAAAACTGATTTACATTGCCTAGATGTGATTGTCATCTTATGTTTAGCAATTTTATTTTCTTGCATGCTCGGGAATGAGCCGATTACAGAGTTCTTCTGATGCGCCAGCCAGTTCTACAAGGCAGTAGTTTTTCAGCAAAGAAAGATCTAATTGGTAAAAAAATTGGATATATGCATCATATAACCATACCTTGTGCAGTGAAATTGAACAGAGGAGGCAGTGCTCGTCCATTAGCAAGCTTGCATTTGGCTCCCTCAGGTCATCAAAGAAGGAATGTGCACATGCTTCCAACTGAAAGGCAGGAAAAGCGCTAACTTAATGTATTTTTCAGAACAATGCATCTGGCTCTCTCAACAATCAAAATATATCATATAATGTCTATAGCAAATCCAGGCCATCAGAAAATAATTGAGCCAATCTAAAGCAATGTTCTTACAGCAGTACAGCGCAGATTTGGAGAATACTGGAGCAGTCTTGACACGAGATCCACTGCTTCAGGGGGCATTCGCTTGTGAAATATCTGTCAATTTGATTTCAGTAAGTTTTCTGCTATAATGTCAAGCACCAAAATAAATAGCCAAAAGAATACAAGCTATGATTGTAAGATTGCTGAAAAACCTTGTGCCATGGGTGAGCTTTGATCTGAGGGAACTTGAATTCAGTATAATTTGGATTCATGCACTTTATTTCTTCTCTAGTTGGCGTCCCCAGTATCTGATAATGCAACCAAAATTATCAGAAATGACGAGGAACAAAAGGAGCATGAGATGCAGAAGCAACAAAAGAGTAAATAAATATCTTACCTTAATTATTTCTACCAGCTGATCAACACCACTTTCTCCGGGGAAGAGTGGCTGCACAAGAAGCAATGCCCAGAAGTCATCAGAAAATGCCACTTATGCTCCATCACTTTATTCATGTAAATGAACTCAGAAGAGAAAGACATTGCATAAGCAGTGCAAAATTTATATAACACGCTTCTGTCAGACAACTGACTCATGATGTTGCCAGTTCGGAAGGGGTATCAATTAGTGTGTTTAAAGATTGAGATGAGGAAGAAACGAGAATGCAGAAGGAAGAATAAGAAAAGCAGGGAGGGACGAGATGGAAGTAGAAACACGACAGTTATTCTTTAGATTTTTCTTATGATTACTCAACCACTGTGGTAACCTGAGGCTACAGCTGGCTCAGTACCATAGCTACTCAGACATACAATGACAGCTGCATGATACTAACCTAGCTAACGGCTAATACACTCCCGAATAGAAACAAGCCAAAGAAGAAGGAATTCCATCAATTAATTTAACAAATTGAATTCCTCTTAACTTATGGCGAGCTTATTCTTGACAGCTTCTAGTCTGGAATCTAAGTGTTACCAAGGCAAAGCATCATGCATGAAGCAAGAATAGGTGATGAGAAATGCATTTAGTGACTTCTTTTTCCAGCCCAATAAATACACTAACCTGACCAAGAAGAAGCTCAGCCAAGACACAACCAACGGACCACATATCAATTGCAGTTGAGTATTCTGTAGCCCCAAATATAA